CCAGGAGGTCTCGATCTCCTGACCTCGTGATCCGCCCATCTCGGCCTCCCAAAGTGCTGGGATTACAGGCTTGAGCCACCGCGCCCGGCCTAATTTTTAATTTTTAATTTTTTTTGAGATAGAGTCTCACTCTGTCACCCAGGCTGAAGTGGTACAAACATGGCTCATTGCAACCTCGACTTCCCAGGCTAAAGTGATCCTCTCACCACAGCCCACCAAGTAGCTGGGACTATAGGCACATGCCACCACAACCGGCTAATTTGTTTGTTTGTTTGTTTTGTATTTTTAGTAGAGACGGGGTCTCACTATGTTACCCAGGCTGGTCTTGAACTCCTGGGCTCAAGCGATCTGCCCCCCTCAACCTCCCAAAGTTCTGGGATTACAGTCATGAGCCACCGTGCCTGGGTTCTCACTCATATTTCTGACTTGCCTCTTACAACTTGGCAAGATGTGTATAACCACCAAAGCTCAGAGAAGTGTAATTTGTCCCCAGCCACACAGCCTGTGAGATAGAAGAAAGAAGTAAAGAAGGAAACTGACATTTGTTTCATATGTGTTAGGACCTGATCTGGGAGCTTGAGATGAGTGCTCATATCACCCTCTTCATCACTGTATAAGGTAGGTATTGACAGCTACCATTTTAAATTTGAGGAAACTGAGGGTGGGAACACTTGGTCCAAAGTCACAGAGCTGGATGCAGCAGAGCTGAGACTGTCACTTGGGACCTGTCACCTCTCGACCTGGGTTCTCGCAATGGTCCCAGGTGGCTTTCAAGAATATTCCATGGGGCCGGGCGCGGTGGCTCACGCCTGTAATCCCAGCACTTTGGGAGGCCGAGGCGGGCGGATCACAAGGTCAGGAGATCGAGACCACGGTGAAACCCCGCCTCTACTAAAAATACAAAAAAAATTAGCCGGGCGCAGTGGCGGGTGCCTGTAGTCCCAGCTACTTGGGAGGCTGAGGCAGAATGGCAGGAACCCGGGAGGCGGAGCTTGCAGTGAGCCAAGATCATGCCACTGCACTCCAGCCAGGGGGAGAGAGCGAGACTCCGTCTCAACAAAAAAAAAAAAAAAAAAAGAATATTCCATGGGCTTTCAGATGTTCAAGGACAGGCCTTGTGGGGGTCCCTGAGTGAATGGGGTGAGGTGGGAATGAACTTGTTTGAACTCCTTCTGTTGACTGGCACCAGCAGCTGATCCCCTAGATCTGGCAACTTTGTGAACTGGGGACTATTGTTATTCCTATTTACAAATAAGAACAGCGAGGGTCCCAGAGAGAAAATGGCATACCTGAGAGAGCCACAGCTTTGTCCATCTGCCTCCTCAGGCCAAGGTCTCTCTCCTCCCCCACATTACATTAGGCTCAGCTTGATGTAGGCTGGAACATTTATTTAGTCGCTAATTATGTGATAGAAGTACATCAGTGAGCCAGGTGCGGTGGCTCACGCCTGTAATCCCAGCACTTTGGGAGGCTAAGGCGGGCAGATAGCCTGAGCTCAGGATTTCAACACCAGCCTTGGGCAACACGGTGAAACCCTGTCTCTACTAAAAATACAAAAAATTAGCAGGGCATGGCAGCGAGTGCCTGTAGCCCCAGCTTCTCAGGAGGCTGAGGCAGGAGAATCACTTGAACCTGGGAGGTGGAGGTTGCAGTGAGCCGAGATTGTGCTACTGTACTCCAGCCTGGGCGACAGAGCAAGACTCTGGCTCAAAAAAACCAATCAACCAAACAAACACAGAAGTACATCAGTGAATAAACAAGGCCCTCATGATTATTTACTTAATGTGAATAATCACACAAATAAATAAGCCCCTATCAGGGGGACTTAACTGGTCTGGGAAGACTTCCCTGCAGAAGTAACACTTAGAGATGTGAAGAGGGAGGCTGTGGCTTGTGCCTGTAATCCCAGCACTCTGGGAGGCCATGTGGGCGGATCACTTGAACCCAGGAGTTTGAGAGCAGCCTAAGCAACATGGCAAAACTCTGTCTCCATTAAAAATACAAAAATTAGCCAGGTGTGGTGGTGCATGCCTGTAGTCCCAGCTACTTGGGAGGCTGAGGTGGGAGGATCACCTGAGCCCGGGGGGTCTGCAGTGAGCCGTGATCACACAACTGCATTCCAACCTGGGTGACAGAGTTAAATTGTCTCAAAAAAAGGAAGAAAAAAAAAAGAGCTCTGAAGAGGTGCTAGGAGCTGACTAGACAAGAAAGGAGGGAAGACCATGCTAAGCAGAGGGTTACATGTGCCAGCGTGCTGTGGCCTCAGGAAACAGAACACCTCCACAGGACCCAGAAAAGGTTGGGTCTCTTCTCCCACTTCCATCCTGCTCTAGTCTGCCCCTGCAGAGGAAGGGTATAAACTGCCTTCCAGCACACAGACCAGATCTCTAGGTTAGGGAAGAGGGAAAGGCGTGTCCCCCAGAATGGGGATTCTAAACAGCGGAGGCCCTGCTTTGAGGTGCCTCTCCCCTACCCCAGAGGCAAAGAACCAAACAGTGTTAGGTTCTCACTGGATGTGCTTTGAGCTTTGAAGAGCAGACCCACAAGAACTGGGGATTCAGCTGCTCTCAAATCTCCTAGCAGAGCAACCCTCAAGAGGACCTTGCCAGGGCAGTGCTAGGCAGAGTCTCTCTGCCTGCCTAGGTCTGGCCTCCTTGGGCTCATCATAAACACAGGGACAGGGGCTGGGAATAGAAATTTAGGCTAACGGGTAGTGTGAGCTCGGCTGCCAGACAGATGCTGGAGATCCAGCTGCCAGGACCCTTCCTGCCCTATAGAGATTCAACTAACACTGCCCACCACCACTGCAAAACAAAAAAAAGCAAAAACGAAAAACCTTCCACCAGGGATCTGACCAGCAATTAAATGCTGATGGATGGGATGAGGCTGTTCTTTCTCATTCCCAGCCCAGGAGAGATGACGAGCTTCTTGGAGATGGGAGTGAAGGGTGAACCTCAGGGTTAATGTGGTCCATGAGACAGTTGTGAAAAAAGGCCTTCTAGGGAGAGGGGCCAGTGACCCTTGTTTCGTGGACTCTAGCAGGGCAAGGGTTAAGAGGCAGGGCCAGGAGAAGTGCCCCACCCAGAGGAGGGACCGGTATGTTAAAAGGCAAGCAGCTCAAGGAAGAGGAAGGGACAGATCCTCCCTGCATCCAAAGGCCTCCTCAGTCTGCAGCTCCAGCTCTAGGTAAGTGCACCTTCTCTGGGTCTGTCTGCCTGTCTGCTTGTTGGTCTGACCAAAGGGAACCTTCTGCATCATTATGCCATCTCTGGCTTGTTTTAACACTGGCCCTGGGTCCCTATGAGATCTCAACAGACCCTAACTCCAGTCCCCCTCCCATAACCCACCTGGGCTGTGCCTGACCACAGAATCAAGGAGATGCTGGCCTGGGAGGGAGCCGTAGAGCAGGGAGCAGGGAGCAGGGAGCTGTGTGTGTCCAGCCCTGACCTGTTCTGTTCTGCCCCCAGCCCCCCACAGTACTTTTCAAGCCATGCTTCCTGTACCCTCAGTGGGGCCCTGGCTGGGATATCATCATATACTGTAAGTTTGCGATGAGACACTACAGTATAGATGATGTACTAGTCCGGGCACCCCCAGCTCTGGAGCCTGACAAGGAGGACAGGAGAGATGCTGCAAGCCCAAGAAGCTCTCCGCTCAGCCTGTCACAGCCTACTGACTGCCAGGGCACTTGGGAATGGCAAGGAAACCGTTACCATTACTGAGTTTAGTAATGGTAAGGGTTCTCTTGCTATATCCAGAAAACGTGCCAGGAAGAGAACTCAGGACCCTGGAGCTGACTACTGGAAGGGAGACTCCAGCTCAAACAAGGCGGGGTGAGGGCATGGGATGGCGGGTAGGGGAGGGAATAGATACATGTTCTCTTTCCTGTTGTAAGGAAATAAAGATGAGGCCAGGCACAGTGGCTTAAGCCTGTAATCCCACCACTTTCAGAGGCCAAGGCAGGAGGATTTCTTGAGCCCAGGAGTTTGAGACCAGCCTAGACAACATAGTGAGACTCAGTCCCTAATATTAAAAAATAAAAATAAATAAATAAAAGGAATAAAGATGAGAACCAGAATGCCTGTCTTTTATTAGTATCCAAGACTGGGGAGAGGGATGGGGTGGGAGAGATCAAGAACTGGGGAGCAGATGGAAGGCGCTACCTCATTCAGGAGACACGAGTTCTTATCCAAGTTCAAGGTGAAGGAAGTGAGGGCGGGAAGAGAAAACCTCCCTACCAGCAACAGCGACTCAGGGAGAAACTCTGGGCCCATAGCTAGCTGGAGGTAGGGTGATATTGCTCCCACCAATGAGCCATCTTCTTAGCTACACCTTTGTAGCTGTGGTCCCAGGCAGAGGAACCACCTGGAAACTGAGCTAAGGCCAGTTCCTTCTTCCAACAGGAGACACAGCTGGGCAGGGACTGTGCAGACTCAGCAGGGCCAGGCCAGCTAGCAGCCAGTCAGTGTTCATGTCTCTCACCAGTCCCTGGAGGGTCCCCAGCCAAGGACAGATCTGGTCAGTTCCTGCCAGCAGCTTGAGCTGGAATGTCCTGGGAGGATCAGTAGAGGGTGGTCACTTGAGGAGCTTCACAGACAGGTGGATGTCAACATCACAGAGGAAGATGTTCATGAGGTCGCGGCCTGCCTCCTGTGCTATCTGGGAGATCACATGGCCCTTCGGACCAATCAGCAGTTTCTGAGGGTATATGAAAGAGAAGGAAGACAGGAATGATGGCACATGCCTGTAGTCCCAGCTATTCGGGGGGCTGAGGTGAGAGGATCCTTTGAGAACAGGAGTTTGAGTTCAGCCTGGGTAAAAGTGCAACCCCTCTTTAAAAAAAAGAGAGGGTGGCCGGGTGCGGTGGCTCATGCCTGTAATCCCAGCACTTTGGGAGGTTGAGGCGGGCAGATCACCTGAGGTCAGGAGTTCAAAACCAGCCTGGTCAACATGGTGAAACCCTGTCTCTACAAAAAATTAGCTGGGCATGGTGGTGGGCACCTGTAATCTTAGCTACTTGGGAGGCTGAGGCAGGAGAATCACTTGAACCCGAGAGGCAGAAGTTGCAGTGAGCTGAGATTGCGCCTCTGCACCCCAGCCTGAGTGACATAGCAAGACCCTGGCTCAAAAGAGATTAAAAAATTAAAAAAGGAGAGGGTTAGGTGCAGTGGCTCAGGGCCATTAATCCCAGCACTTTCGGAGGCCAAGGTGGGTGGACTGCTTGAGCCCAGGACAGTTTGAGACCAGCCTGGGCAACATAGTGAAACCCTTTCTCTACAAAACTTTTTTTTAAATTAGCGGATGGTCAGGCGGCACTTTGGGAGGCTGAGGCAGGCGGACAATTTGAGTTCAAGTGTTCGAAACCAGTCTGGCCAACATGGTGAAACTTCGTCTCTACTAAAAATACAAAAATTAGGCCGGGCGCGGTGGCTCAAGCCTGTAATCCCAGCACTTTGGGAGGCCGAGACGGGCGGATCACGAGGTCAGGAGATCGAGACCATCCTGGCTAACACGGTGAAACCCCGTCTCTACTAAAAAATACAAAAAACTAGCCGGGCGAGGTGGCGGGCACCTGTAGTCCCAGTTACTCGGGAGGCTGAGGCAGGAGAATGGCGTGAACCCGGGGGGGCGGAGCTTGCAGTGAGCCGAGATCGCGCCACTGCACTCCAGCCTGGGGCACAGAGCAAGACTCCGTCTCAAAAAAAAAAAAACAAAAAAAAACCCCAAAAAATTAGCTGGGCGTGGTGGTGGGCACCTGTAATCCCAGCTTCTTGGGAGGCTGAGGCAGGAGAATCACTTGAGCCCAGGAGGTGGAGGTTGCAGTGAGCAGAGATCGTGCCACTGCACTCCAGCCTGGGTGACAGAGTGAGACTTTGTCTCAAAAAAAATAAAAAATAAAAAAATTAGCTGATCCCAGCTCCTCAGGGGGCTGAGGCGGGAGGATTGCTTGAGCGTGGGAAGTCAAGGCTGCAGTGAGCTGTGATCCCACCACTGTACTCCAGCCTCAGTGACAGAGACTGTCTCAAAAAAAAGAAAAGAAAAAGAAAAAAGAGAGAAGGACATGGTCCTGCTCTCAGGGCTCCAAGCTAGGGGAAGAACTCCTGTCAAACATAGTCTTGATCTCTCCTCTGAGCCTAATCTCACTTACCATATAAGATTCTTTGGGCACCAGAAGCTTCTGTTGGATAACCAGCTCCCCACCTGGTCCTTCCTCCCATATTGCCGTCTTCTGTACAGGGAGACAAAAGATTAGTCAGTCATACTCCTCGGTAAAGGTGTGTGTCTGGTAGAGAGCCCCCAGAACCCTTCACTCTGTACCTGCTGTACATTGTAAGGCACCTCCTGAGGCAGGTGCTCTAGGAGTTTCTCTCGGATAATGTTGGTGCAGATCTCTTCTGGTGTCTGGCTAGTGAGGACTGCACTGTGGTACTCCCAGGGCCCTGGCTGGGCCTGTGTCAGGAGGTATTGCTGTGGGAACAGAGGGAATAGATGGGCATCTTAATCCCAACCAGGACTTTTCTCCTCATTTTTGCTTCCACGAGGAAATTAGAGGGCTGTCTTCATATGGTAGAAACCAAGGGCCAGGCTATGGCCAAGACTAACTGACCTTTAGTGTTTTCACATCCTCCTGGCTTAGGGCTGACAACATGAAGATCTCCTTGAAGTGGGGCCAGCCAATCCTCTGAGGGTTTCCCACAGATAGTGTGTTTGGGTCCTTAACTGCTGGGCTGGGGCAACGGGTACCAGGCTGTGAGTGGAAGGCCTGCCTCATCTCGAGCTTTTTGCCGTTGACCTCACCTTCAGTGAGGGCTGCCGTGAGCTCCAAGAGAACTGACTTCCGCTTCAGACAATCTATCTGGAGGTGGGGGATGGGCAAAGGGTGTGTGGTCAGAGATAGGGGACTTGGAGGGAAGTAGACCTCTTCCTCGGATGGGTAGTGCTCACCTTGTTCATGACCAGGACACTAGGGATCTGGGAGAACTTGGTCAAGCACCTGAGCAACTGAGGGCTGAGCTGGTTCCGTGTCCACTTGTCCGAGACATCCACAAGAACCACAACTGGAAGATGGCAAGGCAAGAAGAAGGAAAAGGAAATGGTCACTCTTCCTCCTGCCCTGACAAAAACTTACATGGTATGGGCTTGGCTTTCGCCCCACAAACTACCAAGGAATGAAAGGCCATGACCCCTGTAAACTGGGCTTAAGGTTCCCATCCTGAACCTAACCAAGATCAGCAGATTCCATGCTCTTCCATGGATCTTCCAACAAAGAGAGCTCCAGGTGATGCCTGAGGGACAGAAATACATCAGTCAGGAAGGGTCTTATGACTCAGGCATTTCTGATGAGGGATGTTGTATGGTAAAGGGGTTTTCCAGCCCCTATAATGGAATCTCCCCACCCTGTTTCAGTACCTCCCCCCATATCCACCCCAATTCCACCACCATTACCTCTTCTGTTTACCAGGACTGATAATGCCAGGTGTGTCAAGTAGAATCTAAAATCAGGAAAGTGAGATACCCAGACCCCAGAAGAAAAGATTATGACTGGGAAGTGAGAGAGAGGCTACCTGCGATGTCAGGAGCCTGCCCTCCCTCCTCAGTCAAGCTATTACTGACTTTAGGTTTATATTTTGTTGTTTTTTTTTTTTTTGAGACAGAGTCTCATTCTGTCGCCCAGGCTGGAGTGCAGTGGTACCATCTTGGCTCACTGCAACCTCTGCCTCCTGGGTTCAAGCAATTCTCCTGCCTCAACCTCCTGAGTAGCTGGGATTACAGGTGTGCACCACCGCACCCGGCTAATTTTTGTATTTTTTTAGTAGAGACAGGGTTTCACCATGTTGGCCAGGCTGGTCTCGAACTCCTGATCTCAAGTGATCCACCCGCTTTGGCCTCCCACAGTGCTGGGATATGTGCACTGCACCCAGGCTGACCTTAGGTTTTTACCATTCTGCTTTGATGGCATCTTGGAGAAAGACGATGACTGTGAATATAAGGAAGATTAGGAAACAGTAAACAGAATGAAATCGGCTGGGCATGGTGGCTCATGCTCACAATCCCAGCACTTTGGGAGGCCAAGGCGGGTGGATCACCTGAGGTCAGGAGTTTTGAGACCAGACTGGCCAACATGGTGAAACCCCATCTCTACCAAAAATACAAAATTAGCCGGGCGTGGTGGCACATGCCTGTAGTCCCAGCTACTCGGGAGGCTGAGGCAGGAGAACTACTTAAACCCGGGAGGCAGAGGTTGTGGTGAGCTGAGATTGTGCCACTGAACTCCAGCCTGGGCAACAAGAGTGAAACTCCATCTCAAAAAAAAAAAAGAGAATGAAATCTTTCTGACTAGATGCCAGGGGAGGGCAAGGTAGAGACAGAACTGTACCATGCCTAAAGGAAGAGGAAACCCCCTTTCCTGGCCGGGCATGGTGGCTCACGACTGTAATCCCAGCACTTTGGGAGGCCGAGGCAGGCTGATCACGAGGTCAGGACATCAAGACCATCCTGGCTAACATGGTGAGACATCGTTTCTACTAAAAATACAAAAAATTAGCCAGGTATGGTGGCGGGCGCCTGTAGTCCCAGCTACTTGGGAGGCTGAGGCAGGAGAATGGCGTGAACCCAGGAGGTGGAGCTTGCAGTGAGCCAACATAGAGTCACTGAACTCCAGTCTGGGTGATAGAGTGAGACTCCATCTCCAAAAAAAAAGAAAAAAAAGAAACCCCCTTTCCTCAGATAAATGAATGTAACCATCATCTTCTTCAAGGCTGATGGTAAGGGAGACCCTCTTAGCTTCACCCCCTGTCCTGTTTCAAGGACTCCCTTTGTAGGTACCCACCACCTGGGTCTCCTTCTCTGTGATGACCCCCAGAGCTTGGCAGCGAGTGGTATGCACCTTCTTGGAAACAGGGAACACCTGCCATGAACAAAGGAGTCTCAGTGAGGTACCAGATCCCTTCAAGACCATTCCTGAAGGCATGGCAAGAAGTAAAAGATGTAAAGGGTAGGATGGTCAAGGATGTAGCATACCTTTCGGCCTAGTAGCTGGTTGGAGAGCGTTGACTTCCCTGCATTCGGGGCTCCCAGGAGGACTACTCGTAGGACCCGGGGATTCTCAGGCATATCAGGGTGATGGACCAAGAGGAGATCCTGCTCATCTATGTGCAAGTGGGAAGAGGTGTGAGACACAGTGGAATCTGGATTTCCTGTCAGGTGCTTGTTCCCGCCCGCCCACAAAGGGAGCAGGGATACAAAATTAGTGCACCAGGTTGAAAGCACCTAGACCTGACTTTGAGACTTTGTTTGGCCCTTAATTTACATTAATTTATAAAGTAACTCTCTGAGCCCTTTAGTTTTCTCATATGTAAAATCGAGTTGATATTAACGGTACCTACTTACCAGCTTATAATTTTTTTTGATGACTAGCAATTGTGTAAAACAACTCAGCACAATGCCTGGCACTTAATAGTCAATTACTGCATGTAATTCTAATGTGTAGCTGTGCCTGAGAAGTGTATGTACATTTAAGCAAGCTGGACTACACAAAGCCAGATAATTCCTCAGCCGTCATTCTCTCACACTACTAAGGGTGCTATGAAGGCTCTGCAAGCTTTCCCAGTTTTTTTTTTTTTTTTTTTTTTCTGAAGGAAGGACGGGAGGCAGGGCTAGGGGTCAAGAAGGGAGAGGGCCCAGTCTTTTTATATTGTCTCCTTATGACACCATTTTGCAATGACCAGTTTGTGTCCAGTCTCCAATACCCGACTATGAAGAATAAAGTGTGCTATTTTCCAGGTGCAACTGTGTCTTGACAAGTAGATGAAGCCCAACATGCATTTATTGGATCAAATTTGCTTCCCATGTCAGGGTGCAGAGCTATAGTTCTGCTTTGTCTGTGGCCCTTCAATCTCATGCTCTTTAGTGAGCGCCTCTGGTTGTGACCAGATCGTTTCCTTCTCCGACTCAAACTGTTATTTCTCTCCTGTGAGATTTTTCATTGCTCGTCCCTGTCAGGGCCTCAACATCGTTTTCTATAAAATAGAATCGAAGACAATATCCCCAGAAACCTTTCAGTGCTAAAAAGGTGATAGTTCCGGGCAAACCTATCAGGGCTCTTTACCTCTGTGCATGGACACCGCCGGGACGCAAGAAGTCACCGAACTGTCGCGCTGAGAGGATCCGAGGAAGTGGTCCAGGGCAGAGCCCTGGCCATAATTCCGAGAAGCCGAAGCTAAGCGCGGACCAGAGAAAGCGGACCCCGCAACGCAGGACACGCACCTCCGTTGGAAGCTTAAGGGTGAGGAAAAAGGGATCACCCGCTCCCTCGCGACATGAGGGCCCACCTGCCAGACCCTTAACACCTCTTGAACAAGCCCAGCCCCGCGCCAACTGGGGGCAGCCATTACAGCCGCAAGGCACTCCGGGAACCGACCAAGAGCGTTCCTACGATTGAACGGAGCGGCTGACGAACCAGCGAGTAGGAGAGAGGTAGGTCGGCCCAAATGGAAAGCCGAGACACAGGGGATGTGGGCGGGAGGAGGAACCGCTCTGGAGACTGATCGAGGCAAAGGAAGGGGGGAAATGTGTATTTAGAGTCTGTGCAAGCATGGTGGTAGTTTTGGACTCCCTTACACAACGTATTTTTTTCTTCTGCCAAAGTTTTGTAAAAGGCCCTTCTAGCCACGTCTCCTAAACTACATTTCCCATGAGGCCAAATAGCAGAAATCGTCCTTCCATCGAGGGAGGAATGGTTGTGGGACTGGTAGGGGGCGCTGTTCCGCCTGTCCCCATAAGGGTTTTGTTGTTGTTTGTTCCTAGTCCTTTTCATCCTTTGGCCTACAGGATCATCTCCCAGCCTTACTTTGCCTTGCCCTAGAGGTCAGCGGTGGCCCCGGGCTGTCTGCACCTTTGCTTTATACTAGGCTCCTGCAAGGAGTGGTCCTTGGGTCGGTGTTTGGGATGAAGAGCAGGTGTGGATTTCCCTCCTGTAAGCTTCGGCTACTGTCTCCTATCTGAGGTCATTCCTTTATGGAGAAAAAACAGAGGGTTTGCAAAGGAGGAAGAAGCAGCTTAGCCACCTAAGCTCTCCTAGACCGCTCTAGCAGCCAGAGAAACTCCATTTACCTTGGTCTGTTTGAGGCCTTGAGACCTCTTCATCCTTTGTAGCCTCTAAATCAAACACTTGAAACAGAGATACACCTTGGTAGAGGGGAGTTTAGGAAAGAAGGTTCTTAGAGTCAGTGCTCATTCTGTTGCCCAGGCTGGAGTGCAGTGGCATGATCATAGCTCACTGGAACCTGAAACTCTTGGGTTCAAGCGATCTTCCAGTTTCAGCCCTCTTGAGTGGCCAGGACTACAGGCATGTGCTAACATGCCTGACTATGGAGGAAGATGTATAAAGCATCTACTAGCAAGCTCTGTCCCGTGCTGGGGATACATCAGTGAACAAAACAGGCAGAAATCTCTATCACGGGACTTCGGGGACCTCATCTCTAAAATAACAAAAATATGACACGATACAGTATAACAACTATTTATATAGCACTTACATTGTATTAGATATTATAAGTAATCTAGAGATGACTTAAAGTCATCTCTTACTACAAGAGAATCAGCAGATTTTGGTATCCATAGGATGGGAGGCTGGAAATTATAGTATCTAAATTCCCTGGGAAGACACAACTGTATATTCTGGCTATCCTCAATTTCTCTCCTCCCATTCTCTCTTTTATTTTATTTTTTTTTTGAGACAGGGTCTTGCTCTGTCGCCCAGACTGGAGTGCAGTGGTGCAATCATGGCTCAAGCATTCCTCCCACCTCAACCCCACTAGTAGCTGTGACTACAGACCTGCTGCCACCATGCCTAGTAATTCCTTTTTTTTTTTTTGAGATGGAGTTTCGCTCTTGTTGCCCATGCTGCAGTGCAATGGCACGATCTTGGTTCACTGCAACCTCCACCTCCCGGGTTCAAGTGATTTTCCTGCCTCAGCCTCCCGAGTAGCTGGGATCACAGGCATGCACCACCACGCCTGGCTAATTTTGTATTTTCAGTAGAGACAGGGTTTCTCCATGTTGGTTAGGTTGGTCTCGAACTCCCAACCTCAGGTGATCCACCCACCTTGGCCTCCCAAAGTGCTGGGATTACAGGTGTCAGATACCACGCCCAGCGCTAATTTTTAAATCTTTTGCAGAGACAGATTCTCACTATGTTGCCCAGGCTAGTCACGAACTCCTGGCCTCAAGTGATCCTCAGCCTCGGCCTCCCCAAGTGCTGAGTTTACAGGCATGAGACACCATGCCTGGCCTTTCCCCAGATATTTTTGTTCTTCAGTTGGTTGAATTCCTGGATGCTAAATCCTTGGATATTGAGGACCAATACTGAACAGGAGAGGGCTGTGGGGTTAATAGAGGATTTTCTTTTCTTTTTTAAGATGAAACTTTTATTTTTTTTGAGACGGAATCTGGCTCCCCTAGGCTAGAGTGCAATGGTTGAATCTCACTGCAACCTCTGCCTCCCAGACTCAAGCAATCCTCCTTCTTCAACCTCCCAAGTAGCTGGGACTATAGACGCGGGCCACCACACCCGGCTAATTTTTTGGTAATTTTTTTGTGCAGATGGGGTTTCACCATGTAGCCCAGGTTGGTCTTGAACTCCACGTACTCCACCTCCCAAAGTGCTGAGATTACAGGCGTGAGTCACTGTACCTGGCTGAACATTTTTTTTTTTTCTTTTTTGAGACGGAGTCTTGCTCTGTTGCCCAGGCTGGAGTGCAGTGGCACCATCTCGGCTCACTGCAAGTTCTGCCTCCTGGGTTCATGCCATTCTCCTGTCTCAGCCTCCCGAGTAGCTGAGACTACAGGCGCCCACCACCATGCCTGGCTAATTTTTTGTATTTTTAGTAGAGTGGGTGTTTCACTGTGTTAGCCAGGATGGTCTCGATCTCATGACCTCGTGATCCGCCCACCTTGGCCTCCCAAAGTGCTGGGATTACAGGCATGAGCCACTGCACCGGGCCACATTGTTTTTTTAGTTAAAAACAAAATTTGTTTTGAGACACAATCTCACTCTGTTGTCTGGGCTGGAGTATAGTGGTGCAATTTTGGTGCACTGCAACCTCCACCTCCTGGGCTCAGGTGATTCCCCTGTCTTAGCCTCCCAGGTAGCTACAGATGTGCACGATCATGCCCAGCTAATTTCTGTTTTTGGTCTTTTTTTTGAGACGGAGTCTTGCTCATCGCCCAGGTTGGAGTGCAGTGGTGTGATCTTGGCTCACTGCAACCTCCACCTCCCTGGTTCAAGTGATTCTCCTGGCTCAGCCTCCCGCGTAGCTGGGATTACAGGTCCCCGCCACCACACCGGCTAATTTTTGTGTTTTTAGTAGAGACAGGGTTTCACCATGTTGGCTAGGCTGGTCTCGAACTCCTGACCTCATGATCCGCCCGCCTCAGCCTCCCAAAGTTTACAGGGATTACAGGGATGAGTCACCGTGCCTAGCCTAATTTCTGTATTTTTTTATAGAGACAGGCTCTCACCATGTTGCCCAGACTGGTTGTCTTCTTTTTTTTTTCTTTTTTTTTTTTGAGACTCCCAGGCTGGAGTGAAATGGCACAATCTCATCTCACTGCAACCTTTTGTCTCCCGGGTTCAAGCGATTCTCTTGCCTCAGGCTCCCAAGTAGCTGGGGTTATAGTCTTCTGCCACCACACCTGGCTAATTTTTTGTATTTTTAGTAGAGATGGAGTTTCACCATGTTGGCCAGGCTGGTCTCGAACTCCTGACCTCAGGTGATCCACCTGCCTCGGCCTCCCAAAGTGATGAGATTACAGGTGTGAGCCACCGTGCCTGGCTTGGCCCAGGCTGGTCTTGAACTCATGGGCTCAAGTGAGCCACCTCCTTTGGCCTCCCAAAGTGCTGAGATTACAGGTGTTAGCTACTGCCCCTAGCCTTGGAACATTTTTTTTTTTTGAGATGGAGTCTCCCTCTGTTGCCCAGGCTGGAGTGCAGTGGTGCAATCTCAGCTTACTGCAACTACCACCTCCCGGGTTCAAGCAATTCTTCTGCCTCAGCCTCCTGAGTACCTGGGATTACAGGTACACTCCACCAAGCCCGGTTAATTTTTGTAGTTTTAGTAGAGACGGGGTTTCACCATATTGGCCAGGCTTGTCTCAAACTCCTAAACTCGTGATCCGCCCGCCTTGGCCTCCTAAAGCGTTGGGATTACAGGCGTGAGCCACCACGCCTGGCAGAACATTTTTTAAAAATCTTTGATTTTTATAGAAAGAACCTGTTCAAAACTTGCCAGACACCGCACACGAGAAGTTTCCAGAACCACAATGATGAAAAAAACTAAAACTGACAGACAGAAGAAAATGGGCAAACAGAACTGACCAACAGAACAAACAGAACAAAAATACCCCAGGCTAAACTGTCTCAAAATCAAGGTCCCAGTTGACCAGAGGATTCTAAAGAAACTCATGTGGCCAAGAGTGAGGAGACCCCAATGCCTGAGCAAGTACCCAGAGTGGAAGGAAAAACAATTCAGATATTCAAACCACAGTCCCTGCCCACTGGCCCCTCACGCTGTCAAGAGTGAGGCAAAGGGCTTCACAGCTTTTTGGGGCAGAGAAGAGAGTGATGACAATAACTTGAATAATGGGAGGAGGGGGATTTTTTTTTTTTTTGAGACAGAGTTTCACTCTTGTTGGCCAGGTTGGAGTGCAATGGCATGACCTCGGCTCACTGCAACCTCCGCCTCCCGGGTTCTAGGTGATTCTCCTGCCTTAGCCTCCTGAGTAGCTGGGATTACAGGCATGTGCCACCATGCCTGGCTAATTTTTTGGATTTTTAATAGAGATGGGGTTTCTCCATGTTGGTCAGGCTGGTCTCGAACTCCCAATCTCAGGTGATCCACCCTCCTCGGCCTCCCAAAGTGCTAGGATTACAGGTGTGAGCCACTGCGCCTGGTGAGGAGGGGAATTTTTATATTTCAACTTTTTGTTTTCTCTTCCCTTATAGGGGAAGAGGAGAGAGTGGTAGCTTGAAGTTAAGGAGAAAACAGTGATTTTTTTTCTTCTTCTTTAATGTAGAAAACATCTAGGAATGGCAGGCTGTCATGAAAAAAATGCCAAATTTGGCCAGTTCCTAAAGGGAGGTGGGCGCTTGTGTGGGTTGGTTATGAGAGGTACCAGCCTTGGGTGTTGCAGCCTCTTGGAAGAAAACACTCCAGATACAAATATTTGGGGGTGAGAGAGTAGAAGGGGGGCCAGAATGGGGAACCCTTAAGTGGTACCAAAATTAGCTGCCGCCTGCTCCCGGCTGGTGAGTTCCTGGGGTGTAGAGAGTAACAGAGAAGGAATTGGGGTCAAAGAGAAAATAGAGATGCTGATTAAAAAAAAAACAAAAAACTCTACTCAAGGCTCCATGGCCCTGGGTCTGAAGAGTAGAAAACTGCTAAGTGTAATTACAGTGCTTTCT